TTTGTGTTGTTAAATAAGTTGAATTATCAAGTTTTTGTAAACGTAAATTAAAATCAAAAATACCGGGTATTTGTTCATCACGATAACCTGAATCTCCACCATCAAGACTTGAATGTTGAGATCGTGTATCATCAAGTGTTGGTGAACATGAAGATGATGATAAGAATGTATTTGACATAGATGAAACTATTGATGAACGATATTGACTACATAATGATGAAGGACAAAGATCATCTCTATCCGAAAATGTATTATCATTATTGGATTCAAATCTATCGATTGGTAATGATGCCCATAATGTTTCTAATACTCGAAATATATCTTTAAATGGAAATTCACGTTTACAATCTAATAATAACCAACGATATGCAAACATTAAATTACCTAGAAAATAAAAAATAAGAAAAATTGATTTATGGTTAAACAATTACAAACCAATATCACACTGTTCAATTTTAGTCCATAACTCATTATCAATAGCTTGAACAGTTTTTCTTAATAAATCTAATCGACGATTCATTGCAATACCATTTCGATGAAATAATGGACTCATATAACGCATCAATGCACAGAAACATGCGTAAGCTAATGCTTCATCACGTATAACATATAGAATTGGTGCTGCCATATCATTCATGCCTTGCACATAACCAGGTTCGGGATGATAAATACTATAAGTCATAAGTATATTAAGTAGTTTTTGACACGATAGATTTTCTTTATCATCGAAAAATTTCACTGAACGATCAGTACGTTTTACATCTTTTTGTATTAAATTATCAAGTAGAATGATTTCTGAATCTTCTTGTTTAAAACGATGTTGCCATGCTTGTTTCATTCTGAAAATAAATCGAATTATTAATTAAAAACTATATTTCTTTTTTTTTCTTTTTACTCATTATATCGTTCTTTTGCTTTCATTGTATACTCAGTTTTATCCTCATTTGTCATTGATTCATTAAACACACGTAATAAATAACACCAAACAATTTTTCGTATTGATTCATCACAACCATTATCAAATATACGTTGTCGAAATGCTTGTTCATCTAATAGACGACCTGTTGTTGGATCTAACATCTGTAAAAATTCTTTTTTTGTTACACTATTATTTGATGATGAATGAACTGAACCATGTAGCCAACCTGAAACAAGAAAAATAATAAGAGATTCAATTAATTTTGATTTTTAGAAATTACCAGTTGCTTTTTGTAAGAATGTTTCTTGTCGATGATCTTTTGCTTTAATTGTTACTAAGATCGAATCATTTCGTATGGGTATAATTTCAAAATTATCATCTTTATCATTTAAATTTGTACAATTATCATCAACTACACACCAATCATCTGAATCATATTGTATCTGATCTTTTGTTCTTGGATATTTATAAACAATAAATTCTAATATTGATTGTTGTTGTTGTTTATTGTCATCCTCAATATCTTCTGACATACTCATTATACAACCATCAACATCAAAATCATCTGTAACCGGAAAATTACATTTCAATGACGAAGTTTCTTTTGCCATTAACGTGAAATTGGAACGTAAATTAAATGTTCGATTTATTAAACGAACAAGAAATGAATAAGATAATAATTGTATATCAACAGAAAATTTCTTTTTTGAAAGACAGGAATTACATTCGTTTAACTAGAAGAAAAAACAAATCAAAATGAAATATTTTAGAAATTTTGTTTATTTTTTCTACTGTATTTCTTACCGAAATAGTAAAAATAATAATATTTGGCAAACGATAATCTTGTTGTAATTGTCGATAATGAAGTTTTGATATAACCTTTAAGAAAAATAAAACAACGCCATTTTACAATGTGATATATAGATATGTGTCTATATATATATAAATGATTCATATACTGTGATGAAATCCTATCAGCTGACTGACACACCCGATTCATCGCTTCAAGCTACTTAGTTTAAAAATAAAGAAACAAAAGAAAAAAGAAAGATTACCTCATCACTACTATTACATGTCGAATAGTCATCTGTAATCATTGATGAAGATGTCGGTGAATGCGATGTAAGCATTTTATTTTCATGTGGTGGAGACATATTTCAACCAGGTGAATATATATATGAATTTTATTTGAAAGCAAAATGCATTTTTGTGATAAATGTATAAATATGAGAAAAAAAAAGTAAATTTTTTTTTTCTCTTAACTCAAAAAACAAACAGAATGACAAAATGATATTCGTGTGCTCTGACGTTGTGACACCAGATGTAACCCACCCTCACAATACATATAAAAGCGATGCTGTTGCTCTCGTTTCGTTCTGTGTATTTCTCTCTTTTTTTCACTGTTTTGTTTGTCGTCAGTCTTTACCTCTGCCATCATCCGTCCTCTTTTTTTTCGCCTATCATATATTCTTATGTGGCTATCTGGTAGATGATGCTAAGTATACGTGAGAGAGCACAAAAATATCAATATGATAAATATTATCTTTTTTTTTCAAGGTACTAGGAAAAACGATTGTTTCTATAGAAATCATAGAAGTTATTTTATTTATTTATTTATTTTTTATTTAATCAATGCGAGAAATAATAACGATTCAAATTGGACAAGCAGGAGATTCGATAGGCGAAAAAGTGAGAGAATTTATAAGTTTATGTTTCAAAATAAATATAAACGAAAGATAGTTTTGGGAATATATTTGTAATGAACATGGAATTGATCCATCAGGAATATTTCAAGGCGAAAATGATTTACAACTTGAACGTATTAATGTTTATTTTACTGAAACAAAAAGTGGACGTTATGTTCCACGATCGGTTTTTACTGATCTTGAAGAAAATTCTCTAAATAAAATTCGTAATTCGACATATGGAAATTTATTTCATCCAGAATTTATGATTAATGGAAAAACGAGTGCTAGTAATAATTTTGCTAAAGGATTTTTTACTGAAGGTGATTAAAATAAAAATAAATATCTAAATGAAAAAACGATTATTCCAGGAGCTGAAATGTTACCGGAATTAACAGAAATAATTCGTAAAATTACTGAAGAATGTGATTTAGTACATGGTTTTCAATTTGTACATAGTGTGAGTGGCGGTTCAGGCGGTGGATTAGGCGCCTTATTAATTGATAATATTCGTAAAGAATATTCAGATCAAATAATAAAATCTTATTCAATATTTCCAGCTCTATCAATGTCACAAATTGTTGTATGTTGATAGTTGATGAATTAAATCTATTATTTTTTCGTTTTTTTATAAGATTGAACCATATAATTCTGTTTTAACAATGACACGTATGAATAGAATAAATCAATAGAAGATAATATAATCTATTTTAGATTTAATTGAAAATACTGATGAAACATTTTGTTTTGATAATGTTGCTTTATTTAATATATTAAATAAGATACTTCGAATTTCTTTAGGAAGTTTTAATGATATAAATCAGATCATAGCACAAGTTATGATTGGTATAACTGCTTGTTTTCGATTTCCTGGTGATGATTAATTTTATCGCTTAATTGACAAAAAACTTCTATCTATTTTTTTCAGGACAATTAAATATGGATTTACGTAAATTAGCTGTTAATATGATACCATTTCCTTCACTTCATTTTTTAATGACATCTTTTTCACCTTTACAAACATACCAATCAGCATCATATCAAAATATAAATGAACATATGCTTATTAAACAGATGTTCGATATAAATAATCAAATGTTAGCATTTAATTTACATCAGGGAAAATATTTAACAGCAACAGGAATATTCCGAGGTAGATCATTATCATTGAAAATCCTTCATGATCTTATGGCTAAAGAAAAGAATAATCAACAGTTCATTGAATGGATTCCAAATAATGTTTGTAGATCAATAAACTCATCGAATCAAATGTTTTTTATTTAGTGTAAAATAGCACATTGTGATATTTCACCAAAAGGTTTATCACGTTCAGTGACTGGTATTGCAAATCATACAGGAATAGTAAAACAATTTGACAATTTTTTACAACCATATTCAAAATTAATTCAACGTCGGGCATTTATGCATTGGTATATTGGAGAAGGAATGGAAGAAATCGGTTTGTTTATTTTTATTTAAATACATTTTAATGTATAGTTTTTTTAAAGAATTAATTGAAGCAGAAAATCAAATAAAAGATTTAATAAAAGATTATAAACAATATGAAATAAATACATAATTCGGCCATTCAAAAAAACGATTTAATATGATATATTATATTTTACTGTTACATTGAACTTGGTTAGATTCTTTCTCGAAGCCTCTGTGGCGAAGCGGATTAACGCGTTGGACTTCTAATCCAAAGATCGTGGGTTCGATCCCCACCAGAGGTGGTAACATTATATTTTTTTTTCTTTCCTCCACATAGAAACAGAAACGACTGACGCGCATTTTTCATCATAATAACGACTACTGTAATGATGTAAACTTGAATGAAATAAAATCTAATTGCATTTTTTTTTCGTAAATTTATGATTATACTTTATTTCTTCTATTAGAATAATATTTATTGAAAAAATATATAAACATTTAATGACAAAAAAATGATTAGGCAATGAGAGATGGTGCAAGACGTTTTTGTGTTTTATTGTATGATTTTTCTAATTGATCAAAACGATTCCATTCAGGATTTGATCTCTAGAATAAAATTAAAAGAAAAAATTTTTATTGAAGAAAAATAATAATAACAACAACATACAAATGCTGTAGCATGTCCTGATGATGGTAATGATCGAAGTGAGAGCGAAGCGAGATTTTCACGTGTTTCTTGTTGTTTTGATAAACGTTGATGTCTTCTTAATTCAATATTTTGTTTTAATTGTTCAATTTCAGGATTTTTCTCGACTCTTGATGGTGCACTAACTTGCCGTTGTTTTCTAATTATTACAAAAAAGAAAACATATAATTATATTCCTTGACAAATTAAACTATTTTTTACTTTTTTGCTGCTTGTGTACTTAATTCATTTCGATATTTAACTATATTTTGTACCGTATTTGTTATCATTTGTTCTTTAGTTTGTTTTTCTTTAACAATTTGATCACGACGTGATTCACGTTCTTTTTCTCGTTCGAGTTTAACCAATTCAAGACGTTCACGTAATTCAGCTATTGACATTTCATCATGTACACCGTGTCCAGCAACAGATGTTAAATCAACTGGTTTATATCGATCAATTGGAACTGATTCAAGTGCACGAATTTGTTGAATTAATTCAGCACGTTGCCGCATTTCTGCTTCAGCCTAATCAAAAAAAAACAAAGACGCAGTTATTCAGTATTTGTACACTAAAAATATAAATAAATCTTCACATCTTCAAGAGCTTGTTTCATTAATTGTTTATATTCTTCTTTATATTGTTTAACGAAATCTGCTTTGTATTGTTGAAGTTTTTGTTGTGATATTTTTGTATTTTCTCGTCCCGTAATAACATCATCAATTAATTGTCTATTTAAATTCAAACGAAACTTTATAAAAAAAACTATTTTTGTAATTATAATTAACTTACTTCATTCTTTGTTCTTCTTTAACTTTTTCTTTCACATGATTTTCAACAATTTCACGTGTTTCACGTTTTAATTCTTCAGCTAAACGTCGATTTTCATCAACTAAACGTTGTCGAGCAAGTATAGCTTCTTCGTAACTCATTTTTCCTTCTAATCGTTTTCGTTCAATAGTATTCATTTGTTCATCATAATCTTGTTTTTGTTTTGTTTGTTGCCATTCAAGAAATTCATGTGCATCTTTACCTCCTGATTCATAATCAAGTAAACGTCGACGAACATCATCTTCTTGTTTTTTATATAATTGACTTTCTTTTAATACGGCAGCAACATTTAATTTCACTGGAATTTTATTGATCTAATTATTTTCAAAAACGAGAAAATTAAAATTTTGAAAATCAAAAAAAAGTAATTTTACTTGAGTTTTAGGAGGTGGATTAGCACGAAAATGTTCAAATTGAAGATTATTTTCATTTTCTTCAATGATTTTATTTAATTTACTTTGAGTTTTAGCAGTTTTTTCTGTTTGCATAAAATTATTAGTTAACGAGCGTGTTTGATCTAATCGTTGTAAACTTTGACGATAATTATCTTCACGAATTTTATCTAATTCAATTTGATCACGAGATAATTCATACGTTGTTTTAGGCACTGAACGAGATTTTTCCATTTTTTGAATCTAAATTTAAGAAGAAATAAGACAAAAGAATATATAAAAATATTCATCGAACAATTTTTGGTATTGACACAGTTCGCGGTTTAGGTGCAGTCAGATTGAATGGTTTCGTTTTAGTTGATTCAGGAATTTCACGTGCTGCTGTACGTCCTTCAACAGCATCAGTAAGATCAAGTAAAATACCACGTAAATCTGGTAGATATCTAGTTTTATTAAATGAAAGTTATATTTATTCAAGATACGTTTTATAGCATACGTTTTGATAACTCCACCAATTTTTCCATTCATATATTCTTCGTCGTACACTTTCATACATTGTTTTTCAATTGTTTCAAGATGTTTTTCATTGATAAGAAATTTTAGAAACTGAAGAAAAAAAGAATATCATTATAAATACATTTAATAGTCGTCGAAGAGAAGATTGCTTAAGGATAGTATATATTATCATTATTTCGCCGATGAAAGTATCAGTGTATTAATTTAGCGCGTGAAATAGAACTTTTAATAACACTTAATCGATAGTGCGATAAAATTAATAAAAATTATTTTCTTTGATCAATAATGAATGATTTATATTTTATTCTCTATTTCAAAAAAATCAGTGCAAATAGGTCGCTTTTCAATCTATGTGTGGATTAAGATATGAGAGAAAGTATTCGATATACTACATTCGGATCTATTCGTAGATATTTATCATAAAAGTCACATTACATAGTTTCAATTAGAACATCCGCACTGTATTAATTAAAACACTCATTCTGTTCCGAAAATATAATCGCTGATTACGAAGACTAAACTGAAACTTTCGAGTAAGCCAAAAACCCAGTACATCAACTATAAGTCATTTTTTAATTATTCTCTTTCTGATAGAGAAGAGTCTTGCAAACATAAATTGTCTGCTTGTCTGTCCGCTGGGTCAAAAAAACATCGAAAACTGATTCTTCGAAAAAGACATTTCTGGAGTTTTTTTTATGCGAGAACTTCGAATCTAAGATCTTTTGGGTGACTATGGTAGGGGGAGAAAGGTCAAAAAAAACATCGAACACCGATTTTTCACGGTTCTCAATTGTTTTTTCAGTAAATGTGAAAAGGATGCGTTTCTATGAGAAAGAGCTAAGCGAGTCCTCGGACGAGCGTTACTTGTTACTAGATTAGATTTTATATTCTTACCTGATGTACTCGATTCAAATGAACAGAATTAATAAAACCACGTAATAATTTAAATTGAATTGTATCAAGTTGGAAAAAGATAAGGTAAGACAGAACTAAAAAAATATTTTTTTGAAAAAAAATCATTTAATAAGTTTTTGTTTTTCATACCTTTGTAAATATTTTTTTCTGATTTTCGAATATAAACTCCATCTGTGCCATAAAAAATATCAGTTATAGTTTTAAGTAATGTTGAATGTCGAATACAATCGAATAGAACTGTTGATACAAATGCTTCATTTGGAACCTTCGTAAAAAAGAAACATTTTGTAATTAAAATAGAAAATTATTTGATAAGAAAATACTTTATTTGCTTGAAAATATTCGTCTAAAAAGATTTCTTCTGATACATTTTCTGTATAGTCATTTAATACTTGTACACAATGATAGAAAAGTTCACTGTATTGATTTGCATTTCTATTCATTTTTTTTTCAACGACTAAACTAATCTAATGAAAAATACCATTAGTAATGTTTATACCATGACAACCAATGGACGAATAAAAGTAAATAATAAATTTTTGAAAAAAATTATTTTTTTTGTTTCATATAAAATATATAGATTTAAATAGGAATATATTTATATTTATATGAAAAAAAGATTTGAAAGAATATTTTCATTGGTTGATTGTTAATCGAATAGGAATCGTGATTAAATTCTCAGTCATTTTTTTCTTCTTCCTTCGTTCTGTTTATTCACATCCCTGAATGACTTTTTTATTTTCCCATTGCATCGATCTCCACCAAGGCCAAATGTATATTCAAATCGTTATCTTTTTATTATTCCAAAGTAATCATTCTTGTAAAAATATTCTCAATTTTTCAAATTTTATTTTTAATATTTAGTTTCTCATGCATATAAAACAAATCCAACACCATGGTTTTGTACAGATCCACATGCATTAGATTCAGCTGTTGAAATCTCTCAAAAACTTCCATCATGTAGACCAGGTCATGTTATCGATATTGAAGATGTTGTTTATGAATCAACCGTTGATGGAAAATGTTCGGGCAAAAGTTTATGTAGTCTGCATAATAAAAATGCTCTTCTATTTGCATGTAATCAAAAACAAATATGCAATGTTGAAATACGACATTTTCGTTTTCATATTAATTCAACATGTGGTTCGACAGTACGATTTTTTACTAAATATCGTTGTTTACCTGTTATACAAGAACAAAAAGATTATTTATGTGAATCATCCATACGTCGACCAAGTTTAGCTGATATAAAATTATCATGTGAAAGATATTATCGTCTACATGTAACATTAGCATTAGTTGGAATTAGTGTTAAACAACAAGATAATGGAATACAACAACATTTTAAATGTAATAAAGATACATATTGGCTTTGTAATCATTATGTACCTGATGCTTATCGAAATGCTTGTAGTAATCAATTAGATCGTGGTATTGGCGATTATTGTGACATAAGACCTAATGATCGGCCAAGATTAAAGGGATGTCAATACGGAGAAGTATCGAATTTTTCATTAGTGGAATATTCATGTATACCAGGTAATTTTATTTTTTCGATAATAGACATTGATAATATATCAAATCCTTTGTTTGTTTTATAGGTGAAGGTATAACTGATGATCTTCCTCGAATTGATATTTGTTCGAATGAAGCAACTGAACAAATATCACTCACTCATGGTCTTCTACATTCTCCTAATTATCCTCATCCAGTCGGAAAATATTTATCATGTAAAAAACAATTACATATTTCACGAGAATCTCGTTTACGTTTATTTATGCTTGAAAAATCTATTGAATATTATCATGAATTAAATATTCGTTTATTAAATACTGAACCAAATTCTCAACGTACATTAGCTAAAAATGAATTATTTGACAAAAATTTAACTAATCAACAAAACAATGAAATTGTTGAAATTGAATTAAAAACAAATCATGTTGGTGGTGGCAATTTTTTACTATATTTTCAAGGTAAAAATTAGTTTTTTTATCATATAATAATAACGACAAACTGAGAAGAATATTATATATATATATATTTGTCATGTCAATATTTATGAATATAGATCGTCACGTATAAACCATTAATTTATTCTAGTTGATTCACGCATCTCTGAATATGCACCGTCAATTCTCGAAGCTAATAGAAAAACAACTGATAATAATCGACGACACAAACCATTAGTGAAACGAGATTGGGGTAAGTTAATAAATATTTATTTATGAGAAAATCTAATTTCCTTTGGTTTAATTATTCTAAAATGATTATGAAATAATAACGATGAGAGAGAGTTACTATGGAAATTAAACAGAACGACAAACAAATATTTCTTTTTTTGTCTATATGTAAACTGTCGTAATTGATGAAAGTAAATAAGAGAAGAGAAAGCATATGATATTGTTTTTCTTAGGAACTGATCTTTAAATAATACGAGTTTGAAGGATTTATTTTGTTTTTGATATATATCTATTGCATAAAACTTTTAAATATACTTTTGTTTCGATTAGAAATGTAAACTATGGAGAAAAAGAAAAGTCTCGAGTATCTAGAGAATTAACGTCATCCAGTCTTTTTCATTTGTCTCAATTGTATGTCAAGAAATACTACTTACAAGTCTTACATAATACATTTACTTAGTGAAAGACCTTGATAAAATAAACGACAGAATGAGAAGAGAAAAAAAATGGCCGAACTATTGAACTTCTAATATAAATTTCTCAGAGAGGAAAAAAAATTACACGTATAATCGGTTGATTTCAATATCATGTTATGTAGGACGGTTTAGTGTCCTTGGAGAATAACTTTATAGCTAAATGTAATGAAAGAAAGAATAACAATAATCATCGATATTGTCATAACATTTTCTTTATTGTTTTAGGAATTGTTATTGGTTGTATAATAGGTCTTCTTCTTGTTGTTTGTCTTATTGGAACTGTTTTAATTATAGTTAAAATCTCAAAGTTAGTTTAGTATTATTTTTATTTTTTGAATTAATCTAAATATGAATTATATTTTCAGACGTCGTCGTGCTGAATCTCTTAAATATTTAAAAAGTGATGATGATCATCGTCAACATTTAAATGCATCATCACCTGATTATCATCATCGTCCGAAGAAAACTATTCAAATTGAACATCCTCATTTATTATCTTCTTCACCAACAATAATTTCATCATTACCGAATACAAATCACCGAACAAATATTTCTTCATCATCGATAGTTAATGATAGTACATCTGATCGTGAATCTCTTCTTAAACAATCTTCACGTATAAATACAACAAGTACGAATAATGATAATTTCTATGAAGAAATAAAAGACCATCAACAAGCAATTAATTTAGATTTAGGAAATAATCATTATCTTGAACCGAAATCATTTGAAGATCGAAGAAAATTTTTTGAAGATACGAAATCTTCATCTCCAATTCGAGATCATCGTGAGGTATTTTATTATGAATATGAAAGATAAGCTTTTCATTATTTGCTAATACACATGCTTCATTTTATTTCACTGCTTTTTCCTTACCAAAACAAAAATTATATTTATTGTTATTTATTTCCTTAATATTCTAGTCATTTTGTTTTATATGTATATATATATTGTATTTAAATAATTTTTGTTGTCCTTAATGTTGTAATAATAAATAAAAACCAATCAATTGCTTTTGCTTCACACCTTGCTTTGCTATTAATTTGCCATTAACAACTATTGACGATATTTTGTTTTTTTCTATAAAAATATATAGAGTGAACAAGGTCTTCGTCGGCCAGCACCATTGGCTACACCTGAACATGGTAAACGACATTTAGCAAGCGTAATATGTGATGCACCTATGGCTAGTACAGAAACATTGAATGTTGGAAGTAATTTAATGCGAACTGAACAAATGAAACGTCCAAAACAACCACCACCAAAAATTCCACCACCGAGAATGGATTTAGATCACCCAAAACCAAGTGCTCCTCCTCTTGATTTATTACAAAATGATAATTTTAGTGAAGATATACGTCCACAACATCGTTTACGTCAAATGCAACATCCAAATAATAATAAATATAATGCTTAGAATCGAACCCTAAAAAAAGAACCTTTTTGTATTTTTTTGTGCAACTTTATTAAATAGTGACTCTATGTGTTTTTTTTT